TCCTTTTTTGCATATTTATAATCATTTTAAATTTTTACTTTCAAAAGTAAAGCAGTATTTAATAAATTTACTTACAATTACTGTTTTGATTCTTAATTCATGAAAATGCAAAGCTAATCAGACAGCAGAATCATTATAAAGATTTTTGCCTGACCTGTTGGAAAATAATTTTAAAGGAACTAAGGTATAATGTTGCAAATTTCTCTCCTGATTTTTTTTTCTTACTCATTGTGGGCTGCTGGTTGTCTAACAAAGGGAAAACATGAATTTAGCCTTTTAGCCACATAACCTCTGACTGATGGAAAACAGGTGTTGGATCAATACATGGGAGACACGTGACAACTCCACCGCGACGCTGCTGAAAGTAACTGGGTAGGTTTTGGAAGAAACAAAAACTGCTTTTACAACACAGTTGTAAACCTCAGTTGACTAGAAGCAGCTGCAGTCATTTCTTTTTCTTTTTTATTCTATAAAGTAAAACACGTTATTCTGATCTATATCAATACCTGTCCTTTAATGTCTATTAATACCAGCAGCAAAGCTTATAGTTTTCCAGAGATATTCTCATATAGTTCTTCCTAACTCATCAAGAGAAAGAAAGGAAGAAAGAAAGAAATGCAGGGAGGAAGGAAGGATGGGAGGAAGGAAATATACAGTCCTCCTATGACTTACTGCAAGTACAGTTTTGGTTCTTCTAAGGTGTGATAAGTGGTAATACCTGGTTGAAAATATAGTCACTTTTATTCACAAAGTGTTTTAAAAACCATGTGGCCATCTTTTTTCAGCTAGAGAGTAGAAGGAATTTTTTTAATCAATGTGCAAAGCTAACAGAAAGTAAAAAAAGAATCTAAATGCATATTTCTCTATCCTCAAATGAGTGTCTGGCCATTCTCCTACAAAGTACAACTTTGTTGTCCGTGAATGAAAGCCAGAGCCTAAATTTTAAATTATTAAGGTTAAGAATACAAAGTACTTAGAAAACTCATCACATAGGTTAGCCTATTAATTCACAATACACCTTTTGTTTAAACTGAGAACTGCATAAAACTATTAGATAATATTTTGCTTATCTTTCAACATTTTTGGCATTAAGTTGCTAAGTACATTACAGGACAGTTATATGTCAATTTAAAATATTACTATTTTGAATATTACAAATAAATGATTTTATATAGATAAAATCAGTTTTCAAACTGCAAAGAATGAAGATGCCCAGGGGGTGGAGAAAACAAACCTTTGAAATTTGGTCTTATTCGGGGATCATAACTGACCAATAGCCTATTCAAGATATTGCTGGTGGAGTTGGCAGGCACTCGGGCTAGGTCCTCTGCTGACTGCTGGCTGTAAGAGAAAAAACAAAACAAAACCAAACCCTGGTAAGAATCCAGAAATAGAGAGGAACAGGAATGGGGAATTTTCACTGGAGAAAAGACCTCGCTTTTTGAGACAAATCCACAATTACAGCATGGTTTTCCCAACCAGAAGTAGTAAACATTGTCAGACGCACAAAGATACTTATCAAAAAAAATAAAATAAAATAAAAACAAACCAAAAAAGGATTTGGGAACTTAATTTTACCAAATGCATAAAACACTGCTCTAAACAGTCCATGCTACTTTCTTGTAAATCCAATTAAGCAGACATCTCACTTGTCCTGAAGCAACAAGCAATCAAAACCTACATAAACACAAAGGCAGGGCAGACAATAAAAGAAAAAAAGGAGCAAAAAGTAATTTTTGAACAATATATAATATTAACTTGCCTAAGCAAAGGAGTGTGTAAATACTGCAGGATGGTATGACCAGAGAGACAGCCCAAGAATTCATAAAACAGTCATGCTGACACTTACAAAATGATATTGAGCAAGAAACGCACCATGAATGGTCTCCTCACAGAGTCAAACATGTTGGTGGCGGGAGCGGGTTTTGGTAAAAGAAGTTTCTCAGTTAACAGGCCAATTACACGGGGAAAACACAGAGCTGTAAGATACAATTACCTTTCCTTTGAATATACGTATTCGCTGTCAACTGTCAGAAAGAGAAAGACTGCCAAATTTTTTCTATTTTAATTAACTTAGAACAGTGAATCTTGACCAAATTGGTAGTTGCTTGAAAGCACTTTAAAAAAACAAAAAACAAAACAAACAACAATGACAAAAAAAAAACAACACTTCCTTGGAAGCCAGTGGAAACTGTTCTGTTGTTCACCATTTGTCTGGGTTGGTTTTTCCACCATAAAGTCTTACCATAGGATCATTCTCCCTATACAAAAATAGATCCATGACAATCACAAGGAAGGTTAAAGCTATACTTGGAGCATCGAGCACTGTCTATTCTCTACTGATAAGGTAAACGCCTCAATTTCATAAGTGACATTAACTTACATGAAGCAAACAATGTAATGCGATCAGCTTTGTTCTGAAATCCCAGCTCTGACCCCTCAGGCAATTCTGTTCTGTGTTAATTACCATACAATGTGCTGATAAGCTAAAACCTCTACAGGTGAAACATGACAGATAATAAGTGTATGAAAAAAATCTAAAAATACTATGAATTAATACGTACAACCTTTTCAAGTAGCTATCTGACAGAACCCAAAACACTGGAGGGAAAAAATGAAAACCAATTAGTTAAACCTCCCAAAGGTGCAGGAGAGTCAGTAGATTTAAGTTATTTCCACAGCCTTATCAGCTCCCACATCTCAGCTTCAGGGCTTGGGGACAGGTAATGAGATTTTCCCATTTCACTGCAGGGGAACTTGTAACCTCCTTAGAGCTGACTGTCATCTCAATCGAAAGATAGAAAACTCCAAAGAGAACGCGGCTGTGTGGGAAAACTGGATGTGGAAATTAGTGTCCAAACCCATTGACAAGTTTTCTCTTTCAAGGGAGGAAAACAGAACTGATTGATTGCAAAATACACTTGTATTGGATCGATTAAGAGGTGCTATTATTTTGTCTCAATTTAAAGTCCTTCAGAAGCACATTTCTTCTAAGCGAAGTGGCCAGGCAACTTAAAGAACATTAGCAATACTTTCTGTAATAGGGAACTTTCCTGCCTTATTTTTTCCCTTCTAGCTGTGAAGGGAGACAAAAAAATGCCACCTCAGAATATATGTCTTTTGGGCATGAGGGTTGTTTTGAGCTCAAGGTACTTGAAAAACAGCAAATGTAGGAGAGGCTTTTTCTAAACTCTTTTTCTCTGTCTAAAGACAGGTCCTCCAAAAGGATTTCTAGTGCCTCAAATCCCCTCCCGGGAAGTTTCATCAGCTACGGAAGATCATCACTCTCACCACAGGAGAGGACAACACTTGACGCCACACCCAGACACACCGATCACAGACTATCACCCCTCCTCCGTCTAGTCTTCCCAGGGCCATTCATCTTTCCTACAAGCCATCCACTCTGCCTTAGGAGACCCATCTCCCTCCTATTAGGATGGTGTACAAACTCTCAAGTCTCACCACTCTTTCTGGTACTCACTTTTTTTTTGGCTATGATGCCTGCCCACGTATACATAAACATTAAAAATTAATAACTGTGTGCACCTTGTATCCTGTCAGTATGACTGTTGTCAGAATAGTCCATAGACCCAGGTACCGAGGACAGGGGGGAAAACCCTCCCCTCCCCTACCGTGTAAGCTGTGCCAATCAAACTCATTTTCTAGCCCTTTTAACTCACTTCCAAATTTTCTCTTCCTCCGGAATCAGTCCCTCTTCCTGGAAGACTGCAGCTCCTATTCTCCATCATCCTGAGTTCAGCCCAAGGACTCTTTGAAGACTGCCCTTCTAAAATCTTGCCTCGATCATCCTGGCTTACTCTGATAAACACAGACTCATACATATACTGTTTGGCAATTATTCTGTAGCTTCTTTTCATATCTACACGTGTATCACCACACAGACTAGACCAAATGTACAGTTGTGAGTCCTGGGGAAATCATGGCTTCTGTATTTCTTGTCTAGCATTAAATACTCATGTGTATTACCAACTAGACCAAATACACAGTGACTGTTGATGGAATTATGGCTTCCACAGTTTTGTAATTCTCTACACTTGTAAAGTATTGAATCCACATTGCCCCTGCCCTTTCCACGTGCAGCCCTCTGAGCTGGACACAGCCTCAGGTGTGATAGTGGTGGCAGCTCCACTCAACACTTCCAAGGAAGAGGAGCATTTCTTCCTGAGATGTGCTTTTAGGAGAAAAAATGTTTTTCCCCTCTGAAGCTTTCCAGCATTGGCCATTGCCGAACCAATCCCTAGCAAGGAGGGAGAACCAATGGTGACTGGCTCAGGTAAGTCTTCTGGTAGAGAACAGATACTGGACAATCAATCACCTTGTCCATTATGTAATTTCACTCGTCATCACAGACACTCACTTGGCTAAACAGGAGAGAGGTTAATCACGTGGAGAGCCGTTTTTCAGTGGAGAGAGAGAAAAACCAGGCTGGGAGAAAAGTGAGCAGGAGGTGAGTAAGTGGAGCAACCCAGGACGTGGTAGATGGAAACTAAGACACAGCAAAGTTAACAGATTATTTTAAGGTGGTAGAATCAGGAATGAAACCTGGGAATCCCAGTTCCTAGTTATCATTTCATAACAACCCTGCCATGCTGGAGGTGAAAAATTATCTATCTCCTTATTACCACCAACTGTACATTGTATTAGGTGATGGATGGATAGACAGACAAGACATTACATTAGTCTTTTAAATTTTTAAAATCATTAGTCCTAGAAAATCTTGGATTGCTCATTCTGTAACGTATCAGCATCACTCTTCCCTCTAGCTATCTCCAAATGCTTGGATTTCTCTCCACAGTCAAGTTTGATTTTTTATTTATTTTTTTATTTTGGGTGCGGGGAGGTCATTAGGTTTGTTTGTTTGTTTGTTTAATGCAGGCACTGGGGATTGAACGCAGGACCTCAAGCGTGCTAACCATGTGTTCCACCACTGAGCTCTACCCTCCCTCCAAATTTTAAAAATCTATTTGTTAGTAACAGCAAAAACTCAGTGTTGGCTGACAAAAATCTCTTGAAATTAAAAAAAATGGAACATGTCAAACACGTAATAGCCCTTTTTCTTTGTGTAAATACACACTTTCATGCCTCTGCTGCAGGCAACCCAATGAGAGCATTTAATCACACTTCACCTTTCTTTCTGTTACAAACTTAAGATATTTTGAAATTTAAGTGAAAGCTCATGTAGTTTACATTCATATGCATGAATTCAGGGATTTTTTTTTAACCTAAAAAAAATACGAAAGTCATTTTTTTAGATTGATCAATCCTAAACTAACATGAAAGTCATCTCTACACATTAAAGTATATTTTAAAAGACTAGTTACCTGAGTCACTTGCTTCAAAAGAGCTGAAACAATTTGCAGTTGGCATATTTTCCTGTGTCTGCACTTCACTATATATAACCTTACAATTTGGAAAGTGGCTAGTTATTACTTATACAAAATAAGCAGGAATAAGAAGAGTTAAATGATTTTAATTAGGTCACATGCTTAATGCTCATCTCATGATTAGAGATTTGATATTCTGAATCTCAGTCCAGTGTTTCATTCATCTGACTGGGCCATTCTGTTACATTTCAAGACATCTATCAACAATTCCGACATTACTACAAAACAGGATTTATTTCATGGAAATATGATATTAATTTAAGAAAATAACTTACTCTACTCAGGCAAAGTGATCAAATGACTAGGGAAAATAATGTTTTATATCAAAAGACCTTTTACAACCAGTCCTCTGTTGTTCACTAGCCTGAACTTGGACTGATGTCATTACTAATATGCAAAGCTATGCACGGAATGGACCAGGCTGTACAACTGTGTGATGTAATGTTTTCCAGCACTAAAGGAAAAATCCAGAAATTTCTTTCCAAAGAGGGAAGCTCAGTTTTCCATTAACTGCAAAACGTTCTTACTTTCACATGACCCTCTGGTGACCACACAGCACAGTTCCATTTCAAAGCTGCTGTGCATAAAATGTGCAGGTTGTAGTATGTCTCCTCTTTACTCTAAGGCAGTGATTCTTCACCTCTGTTTTAGCACTACAGACACCACTGAGAATATGATGAAAGCTGTGTCCTTCTCTTAAAAAATGCACACAAAGTTTGCAATGCTGACAGTTCCTGAACTGTGGTTCCCTCTCTCATGGAAATAAACGCTGTCATCCTCATCTAAAGTGAGATAAGAGAAGATTTTTTTCTTTAAAGCTGATGGAACTATGTCAAAGGGACACAGGAGCCAACTGAAAGAGGTCTCCGTGGCCAAATCTAGAATGATTTGAGCAATAAAATAAAGTCGTACTGGGTTATAATCTAAAGTATAAAA